GCCTGACTTCTCTTGGTCTAGCTTTTCTCTCAGTGAAATGACAGGGAGAATACAGTGAGACTCAGAAAGGGCTAAAAACAAATAGGCTGCTTTATTCAAGTTTTGCTAATGAAATGCCTATAATACAACCATTGAAAAGGCAATGAGCAAAATTCTAGAGGAAGACCCCATTACTTAGGACAAAGACATCACTTTTCCCAAACAGTAGGAACAGCCACTGTCCAAAGGGTAGACCAAAAAATAAAACCCCCAACAAGCAAACAAATAAACCCATGGTTCAGTCACTAACCATGAAAATGTTTGTAAGTGCATCAGAGAAGATTAATTCTTAACTGGAGAAAAATAATAATCAAGGTATAGGTGTACTGCCAAACACTGTAGCTGGGAAAAAGAGACCTTGGGGAGGAGAAGCAGGAAGAAGAAAGCTAAAACTAAATGTTAGTCTCACACTACAACATGTCAGCCCAGGATACTATGGGCTATTTTATTGAATGGTGCAAAGCTGCTCTAATTTAGCAGTGTTTATTTGGAAAGGTTTGCTACAACAGTGCTCTCTGCAATACACCACATTTTCTGGTGTGTTTTTTGGTGGTATCTGGAGGCGCATTGTGGGCTGATGAATGTCCAGGTGTGAAAATACATGTTATTCATGTATATGCACTGTCGATTTATTTCTTTGCACTTTTTTCCCCCTAATTGAAGCACTAAAGTTGACTATGCTCAAAGCTTGAATAGTCCCCCAAACATTAGAGTATTATCAATTAATAATTAGAAATATAATTCCTTGTATATCTCTTCTGCCATCGCATCTTTCAAATGCAAAGTCAGCATGGAATAAGAATCAGAGAAATGTAACCTGACATTGAACATGAAAGCAAACACATTGGCAAAACAGAAAAACACAAGCAGAAAAAATGGAAAGGGAGTTTTGAAAATCATCTTCCTAAGGCATACTGAATCTGCAACAATCTGTTTTTCCCGATTAACAAACCTTGGTCTCGTCTGGGTGTTTTGAGCTAGATTACTGACTGGCCATCTGTGGCAGGCCCACTCCTGGATGTCATGCCCCTGTTAATGAAATCTGGGCGTGCGCTCGTAAACAGACCTGGTGAATGGTAGATGGCAGCCATTGCGTGATGGGCAATCATCAATCATCCTTTGTCAGTTATTTCTGTCCCAGTGAGTAAGCCTTTATTTAAAGCATAAAGTAAGAATGTTGCCAGACCACAGGAACAAGCCCTGAGCTGTTTGCAGGTGCTGCTATTCAGAGCTGCCAATTAAACCCCTGACATTTCCATGTTGGCCATGAGGCACAGCATATGCTTTTGACATACCAATTAAAAAAAAAAAATCACCAATCATCAATCTCAGATTATCGATACATGCCTTTTTCTTTTTCCATGGTTACTACATAAAGCTTTTAAAAATAGTTTATTTTAGAAATAGAGGAAGGAGAATCAGAAAAGGTTCTAGTAAATGGAATTATTAAGATGTGCACATAATATTCTTTCTTGTAACTGGGAAAGTGGCTGACATTTCTGATGTGAAAAGTCTTCCCTGATGCCTAAATCTACATGGCAAAGTCTCCTATCGGGACTACAACATTAAAAAAAATTTTTTTTCTTGCCTTCTTATACATTTTTTTAATTCTGAAATAGTAATACTATTTTAATGTAATCCAGTACTATTAAAACTAGATATCGCAATTTTGATTAAGATTCTTTCGTTGGGATGCAAAAGTGTGTCTTGTATTTGAATAATTTTATGAAATTTGCAAAGACTTTTTATTTAGTCTCAAATGTAAGTATCTGAAAGGGTGTGTTCCTATGTGTTACATCATGGCTTTACATTCACATAATTTCAAGGTTGGAAGATAAAAGCACCCAACCACTCTCAGAGGATAATAGACATAGTGGATGTATTCACCTATAATTACTATAAATTAGCTGCGGTGGGGGAGAAGTGCCTACATGCACCTTTAGGGAATATTTCAGTGTTTTTAATTGATTTTCCAATTTTTCTAGATATGGGTAGCTCTTTATAAGAAATGAATTGTGGTGACAATCATGAAGATTTTAACTAAATTATTCTTTCTGGTTAGTGTTTAGAAAATGAAGACATGTTCTATATGGTCTCCTATTGTTTTGCTAAGAACAGTATTAAAATCATCTGTGATTAAGTATGAATCTCTATTTTCAAGGTTGGGCAATGGACCTTAATATGGGACCACCACCCTTTTCTTTCCCTTCCTCTGTCCATAAAGATGAGCTAAACAGAGTTACTTCCACATTTCTTGAAATCCCTAAATCCCACTACTTTCAGGGATATTTGTTGAGGAAAGCAAAGCTGACAAGCTAGGATTTCTTTCAAATAAACTTAGCTGATGAGTGTAGCAGGTGAGCTTTTTTATTTTTTCCCACAGTGATAATTTCATATTATTTTCCTGCTTCTGAGAGGAGGAAGACATTGCCATCTTCTTTAAAGATGCTTAGTAGCATTTCATCTTTAAAAAGAGAGAAAATTTGTTACTGCCTTCTACATAATGAAAGAGTATTTAAAAAGTTTTTTGTTTTTTGTTTTTTTTTTCTAGAGACGGGTCTCTCTATGTTGCCCAGGCTGGCGTGCAGTGACTATTCACAGATGCAATCATAGCTCATCGCAGTCTCCAACTCCTGGACTCAAGTGATCCTCCTGCCTCAGCTTACCTAATAGTGGAGACAGCAGGTACGTGCCTGGCTAAAAGAGCCATCTTTTAATAAAATATTTTTCCTCTGTAAATTAATTTGATCATAAGAGCTGCCTTACCAACCTAACTTATGGTGAAGATCTGCACAAGAGTGAAAATTTTAGCATCATATGAAGATGCAATGGCTTTCAATGGCCTTGAGCCCTCGGGCTACATGAACACCTACCATTCAACAGAGCTGAGGATGCTGAGCTGTGGGATTGGCTTTGGGCTATTCGTTTGTGATAATGTCTGTCCACAGGCTTTGAGATGCAAAATGAAAGGAAAGGGCTGGATTTGCCTCCCTGATGCTCTGTCCCTAACTAGCACCCTATGCGCCACTTATCTCCACTTGGTTCCAGGTCTTCCAAGTGCCCCTGGTTGTAGTCATCATAGTCATCGTGATGAGGACAATGATCATGAAAATAATAATACTAATGGAAGCCATCATTATGGTAGTCAGCCTTGGATTGTTGTTAAGAGTGCAGATTCCATAGCCAGCCTGACAGCTTTTATCTTGCCTCTGCCAATTACAAGCTGTGTGACCCTGGTCTAGTTACTTAATCCATTTGTTCTTCAGTTGCTTTCTCTGTGAGATAGAGATTATAATAGCAACTACCTTATTGGTACATGGAATGCTTAGAGCAGTAACTGGCATGTACTTCAGGAAGTACTAGAGGAGTGATAGATAAAGAGATTAAGTAAATGAGTATTCCTAGTATATCTGCACAAGCGATTTCATTTTAATTCCAAGCATTTTTGATGTACATATGGTTATTCCAATTTTTCAGGTGGGGAAATTGAGGCTGTATGAGATTAAATGATTCTCCCAAGTCTGCCAGCGAGTGACTTGCCAAATGGTGATTCTAATCTGGGTTAGTGTGATTTCAAAACCCGTGCTCTTTCCGTCTTCAGGCTTCCTAGCCTATGCAGTCCTTTCACAACTGAACACCATTGATCAAAAGACAAGTGGCAAGGGGTTGAAGGAAATAGAAATAGAATCAGAAGCATCAGAGAATGCAAGAATTTCACAGTGTAAGGGCATCAGGAAATCCTCTAAGGACAAGGGGAGATAAACACTTTTCCAAGGTCAGAAGGCCAATTAGTCACCATACTTAAAGCTCCTGAGTTCATTCATTCATTTATTTGACTGATATGTATGTTCCTCATATTTCTACAAAATGGTCAGCAAGCTCATGTGTAGCCATTTAATAAGTAAGAGAATGTATTTTCTGTAACTTTGTCAAATAAAGAGGCCCACAAAGGCCATAGGAAAAAATATTGATGAGAGGATGCCAGGACTTTCCTGGTAATTGAATCTGATTTGGTAGGTTCTGGGGCTGCTGCTTCTTCCCTTCCTGGATCTCTGAAGGCAGAGAAGCCAGGGCATGGAACAAGAGAAGGGCTGGCTGTCCCAAGGCTGGGTCTCATCAGCACATACAAGTTGCCTTTATCAAGGCTAACTGGTATTGGTTTTGGCACGCTTAACATGATGTTATGTTTCAAATGTTTCCAAGTTTGAAAGATATAGGTCTTTCCTTTCTGCCTACTAAGATTATTTAGCCTCCACACATGCAAAGCAGAGTATGATGCAATAAATTAATCATATCAGAGCAAAGTAGCTACTGAAAAATTGCCAAACACCATAAACATTGGTCAAAATGGAGTCCAACCATTTGCACAGAGAATAATTGAACCTATGGATTCACTTGAGGTAACTAAGCAACTTTTCATTATGAATTATAAAGCTTTTCAAACATAAAATGATATCTGAGATGAGTGCATTACCTAAAAGGTTTCGATAAGCAATGAAGGGAGCTGTAAAATATGCAGCAGGGATCAATCATTCAGCTGTATGGTGTTACTTATACTTTGTGGCATCACCTACATACCTTGATAAACAATGTCCCATAGCCTCTGAGCATTCCCATTATTTTCATCAGCACCCCAACATAAGAAGTGACAAAAATGTCAGATGATGTTTTATTTACTAATATAAAAAAAGTTCTAGTGGAAGTAGACATTGTGTGACAAAATGGAGGCATATGAAACACATTTCCCAGCATCAAAAATGGTTCACATTGTTCAAAAAAAAGGTATAAAACCTGCTGTTTGTGATGAATTTTAATTGGAAATGTTACTCATAATGAGCATGAATTTCTTTTGTTTGGAAGATGACATGTCCTGCTTCTATAACTGAGGAGCAGTTGAGTCTCTCTGAAAAAATGAGTAGTTGAAACAGACTTTTTGACATCCAAAAAGAAAGTAGAAATACCTTCTAGTTATCTTGGTGTCATCTGCCATAGCAAATATTCTGATGTTTCTTATGGTCATCATTTTGTGGGAGACATTTTCATCAGTTACCTGAGAAATCAAGCCCAGCATTCTGACTCAGATATGAGGCGGTTCTGCCGTCCTGTATCCTGCTAATGAAAGAACAGAGCAAAATGAAATGAGAGCATCAATTGCAAAAATAACCTGATGGTAGGGAAGCATCCCCCACTTGGAATTAGCTTTGGACTTCTACTCAAGATGCTGCAGGATAGGATATAAAAGAACAGAGAGGAAAGGATCACTGACAATTATAGAGCCTCTTTTCTGTGATAAAAGAGGGCCCAGAGTGTAGTCCATCCATGCTGATGGACACTAGATAGAGGAGAGAGGTAACTATAAAAGGTCAGGGAAAATGGATTTGAAACTAGTGAGGTACATGAAGTCCACAAAGGTTAAAAAACAAAGTTGGACAGGGCACGGTGGCTCATGCCTGTAATCATTCCAGCAATTTGGGAGGCCAAGGCAGGTGGATCACTTGAGGTCAGAAGTTTGAGATCAGCCTGACCAAAATGGTGAAACCCCATTTCTATTAAAAACATAAAAAAATTAGCCAGGTATGGTGGTGCACACTTGTAGTCCCAGCTACTTGGGAGGCTGAGGCACAAAAATTGCTTGAAGCCGGAAGGTGGAGGCTGCAGTGAACCAAGATTACACCATTGCAAACAAACAAAACAGACAAAAAACCCCGAACAACAAAAGTGAAAAAAATCACCATCAACAACAAAGTTGGATATATGAAAACATATTTTCATGACCCCATATGGTTTGCATAAAGAAAATCATTTCCCAGCGTTAATGTGATTCAGGAAATGATTTGGTTCAATAAGGTTTAAACTAACGCAGTGGGCATCCATCCCATGCCTGGGAATGTGAACTACCTCTCTGGACTAGGAGGAACAGGGTGGCTACATCCTGCCACTTTGGAACTCAATTTCAAAATACCAATTTGCAGGATGGAATCTTGGCCAGCCTGCTTTGTGGGGGTGGTCCAAAGCAGTGGGTACTTTACAGATACACAAATTGATTATTTCAGTTACCAAAATCAATTTTCCAGAATAGAGTGAAGTCTATGGAAATGTTTCTCAAAAGGTCATTTAAAATTAGCTTAAATGACCCACTAGGCCCTGCATTGATAATAGCACCTAACTGCACATGTAACTCTCCCTCTCCTGTATCTTTGCCTGCAGGAGATCTGAGGCTCAAAGCACCCAATTGGAGCCTGCAACAACCAAATTGCATTGCTCCCTCTGCTCTCATGAATTTCTTCATAAGCTCACCTGATTCAGTTCTTAGTCCAAACTAGGGTTTGTTCCTATAAGTAAAAAGCCACATATTTTATGTTTCTAAAAAATTCAATAGGTGTTATTTTAATTGTGGCTTTCCTTTTTCAACTGGTCTGGCTTTTTGTGTGTGTGTGTATGTGTGTGTGTGGAAAATGTTGTGTGTGTCGTGTAAACAGACCATTCTCCATTCAGAGATGATACACATTTGCATACAACGCAGTTATCCACGTGCGTAATGTCTCTTGCACAAACACGCAAAAATACATGAGGGCTCCTTGGTCTCTTAAAATTTTTTCAGGTGGCCAGGAGCAGTGGCTTACGCCTGTAATCACAGCACTTTGGGGGGGCCAATGTAGGTGGATCACCTGAGGTCAGGAGTTTGAAACTAGCCTGGCCATCATGGCGAAACCCTATCTCTACTAAAAATACAAAAATTAGCCAGGTGCAGTGGTGGGTGCCTGTAATCCCAGCTACTCAGGAGGCTGAGGCAGGAGACTCACTTGAACCTAGGAGGCAGAGATTGCAGTGAGCCAAGATCACGCCATTCGTGCCATTGTACTCCAACCTGGGTGACAGAGCAAAACTCCATCTTAAAAAAAAATCCTTTCAGATTTCTTAGATGATTTCCTTTACATGTTTTCAACCTACCTAACAGCAAACCACTTCATTCTACACTAGTCTAATTAATTTGACAGGACTGGAAACTTGTTCTTCCTGTTCACACTTCTTATTGGTCTCTTTAGAATGCCCTGTAGAGAGGATGAAGTACAATAAAGCAGTCTTTACCAAATGCCTCAATGCTAAATGCCCTTTTAGGCTGACTCGGCACAATACTGACAGTGAGGAGATCTGACTTTAGGGCAGCCTAAGAAAAACGACATTTTCTAGAATATCATCTATTGAAACAGGTCTTGAAGAAGAAAACAATGTCCATTTCCCCTGCAGTTTTGCTGTGGGCTCTGGGGACTCCGATTTATCCCTACTGTATCTGAAATCTTTGCTAAGGAAATGACAGAGGTATCATATTTTGCAAAATAAGCCCTCAATCCTCAATGGCAAATGTGGAGATGATTTCGGGATTTTTAAGCACTGTAAGTGTAACCTGAAACATATCAGATATTTTGTGAAGGGGTCGGCTGAAATGCAGAATTGACAACTACAAAGGGAAAGAGCCTTTCTTTTTTTGGTTAACTTTGAAAATTTCCTCAAGAGAGCAAACTTTTGATAGGGGGCAAAGATTCTTACAAGGTTGGTACAGGTGGGTAATTAAAAAAAAAAGAGTGAATTTATCTGCATGCATTATTTAAATACCTAAAGCATTTCTTCGCTTTAATGATAAATTATGATCAGTAAAATCTGTTGGCTGCCTTCAAGCTAACTAATGGATCGCTAATCAGCAACAGTCGAATCATCCTAGCTGAAGTGGAATAAATATCTCCAAGGATGCTGCAGCTCATCTTTACAGTCTAAACCTATAAAGACGTTTGCATGTATTTCTGTATTCTTTTACTACACGAGTGTATATGAATATACACACTCATGTGTGCATTTGCACATATTAAAATCCTATTCTTTGACACCTTCTTGCCTGCCCTTGACGGCTCTATCCCCCTTGGCCTGTTGTGTAAGAAAGATCATTCCTGGAACTAATTAATACTTAAAGAGATCAGCTGACACATCTCATTGTTAGCAATACATTGTTAATTGTTCATTTTACTCAGGCACCATTTGAACACAAGTCAATTTGCAATTTCATTAGTGAACCAAAAAGGCCTGGGGTCTATTCCTGGTTTTTTAAAAAAGAAAAGGATAAAAAGCAGGCAAAATTTCATGAAGGATGTTAATCCTCTAATTAATTTTATGTATCAAGCAAGAATTAATGTGTGCTGCTATTTGAGCAGAAGTCTTTTTGCCAAGAAGTGTATTTTGTCATACCTTCCCCTCCAGAGAAACGTCTTTACAAGCTTTGCAGCCAAATACCCTGGCAACTAATGACTAGCTTTGGAGCAACATTCACAGACCATTTGCTTTGATGACATTTGGAGGCTTTGCTCCCCTCATTCCAATTCTATTGTAAGTAGAGTACACACACCATACAGCCTTTGAAAACTAATCAATACAGTAAGATTTGTCAGGTTGCAGCTGACTAGTATCACATCTTTTAACTCTTTTCTTAGCTGGCTTGTACACATTTTTAAGTCAAACCTTATGAAGGGAGTTGGGTAGATCATCCTTTCCATATTTACAGGCTCCCTGTTGTGACATGGCTCTTTCTTCTGTATTTTAACATCAAAAGCTCATAATCTGTGTAAGTTAACCTTCCATAAAACTAAAATTATATGGTCATCATACATAATCTGGTGATTGATCACAGCTGTCACAAAGTCACAAATTGTGACTGTTTACTACAGTTGCACCATGAAAATTATTACATACTTAAAAATATCCATTTAGTGAAAATAAACAGCTTATATTCGTGGGTTGCAGAACCGAAGCATACATGTTTTCTTTGTGACTTTTGGCTCTCTTAGAATCAATGTGAAAACCTACTTAGGTCTGATTTTTCATTTCGGTGTCTTTGTGTAATGTACCTCCTCCATACCTCATCTAATTTAATAAGATGCAAGCTAAGGAAGTACTTAAGTTACTTATCAAGGGTTTTAGATGACACATTATTATTATATTCAAAAGTCAATATTTGCTAATCATGTTAGTACAGGAACTGGTCCAGGCCTACAATTCTTAAATTGCAGAGATATTTAAGATTAATTAAACCTATCTCCCCAGTCCTCTCTCTCCACCTCTATGAAATAAGTAAATCAATGACATCCTAAACAAACCCCGAGAGCCAGAGCTTCAAGTCTGAAGGCCACTTACACCTTTTAAGCCTCTGTTTGCTTCAGTGCTCAAGAGTTGAGCTTTGCCATTTCTCCACTGTTTCAGGAATATTTCCATGTTATGAGAGCAAAGTTCACAAATTCACTTGATGTAATTAGAGAAGAGTGACCACTCCTGGGCATACAGCATGGACTCCATTGCTTTTTTAAGTCAGGAGAATATTGAAATAACATATGGCCTGATTTCTTTTTTCTTTTTATATGACAACTTCTGGGTAAATCTGTGGCAGGCAAAGTTGAAAGGTCACCTTCCACTTCTCAAACTGGGCACGATGAGAACAGGCGACTAGATCCAAACCCTGGCAGGTTATGCTCTTACATCATTGTTCTGGTGACATCCTGACCCCTCTTTTATATAAACCGTGGAGCAGAGAGCCAACTGTTTAAATGCCAAGATTCCCTTTACCTTTGAACAGCACACCCATTGTAAAAGAACGATTTCTGATCTAGTGTTATGTACGGAGCCCAGGACTTGACTGAGATTAAGTGATAGACAAGTTTGACATCTTATTAACATGTATTGACTGGGAGAAGACTAAGAAACATAGAACTTTAGTGACGACTTATAGCAGCTGCTAGTTCAGTTCCCTCAGGGGAAAAAACTAGTGCATTAACCCAATATGCCAACTAGGATATATTTACAGGTAGTTAGTGAAAACAATAATGCTATGCAAACTGGATATCTGGAACATGAATCAACATAGACCAGCTAATTAGGTTATAAGTGCATTGATTTTATTTTGAATATGCCCTCAAATAGAGTCTGCAAGAAGCAAACTGAAACGGGGTTTTTAAACTGAGAAAAGCAACAATCAGATTATTCTCTGCCACTCTCCAATCAATCCAGAAGGGTTTGGCAAAATACTCTGATGCATATTCTATATAATCAGAATGACACGTCCTATTAATATTCCAATTACTGTTGAACTATTAGCAATGCCTGAGTCTGGTGTCTTAGAGCCTCATAGTGGTAATCCGGGAAACTCATGTCATCTTTTGTATTCATTCAATTTAAAATGAGATAATTTTCCCTTTAAAGGATTTTTATTCAACATTATTTTATGCATGGATTTAACATCCTAATTGATTCAGGTGGACTCTCAGAATGAGTTGCTAACTCTTTTTGTTCTTTTCTTCACTGAAAGAGGTCAGCAGCTCTGATCTTATTTATAAATTTAAATGTCGATTTTTAGCATGGTGAGTTATTATTAAAATAATAGTTATTCATGTTCACAAAAGACTCTATTCACATTGCAAAAGCCAGGAATTTAATAATTTAATAACCTAGTCTAGAGTAAGAAAGGGCCAGAGTTGTCAACCTCATCTTAGAACACATAAAAATCATAAAATCAGAGTAATGAGAGTGACTTTACAAAAAGCACTAAGATGTTTCCATTCCTCTGAATATTTTCTCACCCTAAATTTTGCTCATTTTAATTTTAAAACTCACTGTACACAGGGATCTATCCACTACCATAGATAAAATACTGTTTGTAAGCAAAACATAAAACGAATTGAAAAAGTCAAACTTGGTGTTATATTTATATATGTACATTGGGCTTTTTAAGAGGTTTGCTTTATCTTAAATTCTGTTAAATAGGGCTGTGTGCGATGATATGGTCTAGATTCATTTTTCTTTCTTTTTTTTTTTTTTTTTTTTTTGAGACAGAGTCTTACTCTGTCACCAGGCTAGAGTGCAGTGGCACGACCTCGGCTCACTGTGTCCTCTGCTTCCCTGATTCAAGCTATTCTCCTGCCTCAGCCTCTCCAGTAGCTGGGACTACAGGTGCCTGCCACCGGGCCCAGCTAATTTTTGTATTTTTAGTAGAGACAGGGTTTCACCATGTTGTTGGCCAGGATGGTCTCGATCTCCTCACCTCGTGATCCACCCACCTCAGCCTCCCAAAGTGCTGGGATTACAGGCATGAGCCACCACTCCCTGCCCATTTTTCTTATCTTACATTTGTAGTAGCTTCTTTCCATGAATATCATGGATAGGGTACCCAGTGCTGGTGCCTCGGCACAGGATGGGTGAAGTGGAGATAGAAAAAGGTGTCTGGATTTGGAGGCAAAGTCTAAACGATTAATAATTTGAACTTGGGATATAGTGAAAAGAGAGAAATCAAGGATAATATACTGCAGTTCTGGCTTGAGCAACTGAGTAGATGGCCATTTCCAAAGATGGAAAATACTGGGGTGATGGGGTTGAGTTTGTGGAGTATTGATGTAATAAAGAGGTCTCTTTGGATGTAGGTAATTTTGAGGTGCCCGAGTGGAGATGTCAAGGGTGCAGGTGGCTATTGGGAGCTGAGTAAGCTCAGCAGTAAGGTCTCAACTAGTCTTGTCAACTGGAGCATTGTCAGCTTCTAGACGGTATTTTAAACTATGGAACTGGGTGAGCTCCCCCAAGGCATGAGTGCAGCAGAAGAAGAGGGACTGGAAAGCACCCTGCTGAGTCACCATTTAAAAAGATTTTTTTAAAGATAAGCAGTAAGCATTTACGTAGAGATCAGAGTTTGCTCCAGAACACTGGACCAAATGATCCAAGATGAGATATGAAAGGCTTTTCTTTCCTCACACCCTAAACTATGTTAAATTGAGACATTTGTTTGTGAGGAATTGCTTCATTGTTTTTGTTTTTATTCTTAATGAAGCTTTCCATTTGAAAAGCCAAGCAATTGATTTGAAAATGAGTATAATAAAATATTCAAAAGAGGCACAGGGCCCTGCTACCCTCACTGCTGCCTCAGGGCCTTTGCGATTGTTCTTCCTTCTGTCTGGGATACTCCACCTTCGGAAGCCATATAGCTCACTCCTCATGTTCTTCTGGGGCCCATGCAAATGTCACTCCTTCAGTGAGGACTTTACTGATCACCTTATTTAGAATAGTAACCCCATCAGTATCTACTCCACTGTTTCTGCTTGATTTTTCTCTATAGAATGTATCACCATGTGATATACACTTACTTGTTTATTTGCGTATTTCTGTCTCCTGTCACTAGAATGCAAGCCACATGAGGGCAAGGATTTTTTTTGTTTTTCTGCTGTAACCAAAATATCCAGAAAAATGCTTGATATACAATAGGTGCCTAATAAGTATTTGAAAAAAAAAATGAACGAGAAAAGGTTCATTTTTGATGAAAAAATGATTTTTTTTAAAAGAATAGCCAATAAGAGGAGGAAAACCTAGAGGTATTTCAGAAGCCAAAAGAAAAAAAAAAGGACAGAGAGTTATCAGATATGTTGAATGCTTCTACAGAGCCCAATGAGATGGCAAAGCAACATGATAATCAGATTTGCCACCTTGAGAGTCATTGCTGACCTTGATGCCAGCAGTTCCAGAGTAGTGGTGGGAACAGGAGTCAGAGTGATTAGGGCTGAAGAGAGAATGGGAGGTGAGGGAGTGGAAACTCTCAGTAGGTAATCAACCTGAGAAGTTTTGTTGTGAAGAAAAGTAGACATACAAGGCAGTAGCTGAAGACCAAGGGAGGGTCTTATTAATGTTTTCTTTGGATTTTTAAAATGCTGTATTGATTATCACCTGACACAGTAATGCTGCTTTAAAAACATCCACAAGGCTGGGCCCAGTGGTTCACACCTGTAATCCCAGCACTTTCGGACGCCAAGACCGAAAGGTTGCTTGAGCCCAGGAGGTAAAGGCTGAGGTGAGCTATGATTGTGCCACTGCACTCCAGCCTGGTGATAGGGCAAGAACCTGTATTTTAAATAAATAAATAATTAATTAAAAATCTACAGCATTGGACAATACACCTTTATTTTTTCTCTGTCTGAAGTTATTAGCTAGCTGGCTCTGATCCATGTCTGAATTTTGGCTGGTTGTTGGTTCACCTAGGCTGTCCTCAACTGGGATGACTGGGATGACTTAAGCTTGGTTCACATCCCTCATTCTTTAGCAGGCTAGTCTAAGCATCTTCTCATTGTGACGTCTAGGGCATGACACTTAAACAGAAAGGCAAGTCTTCCTGAGCCCTAGGTTCAGAACTGGCACACTGCTACTTTTTCTTCATTCCGTTGACCAAAGCAAGTCAGGAGGCCAAGCTAGAGTGAAAGGAAAATGTGATTATATTGTGAAATATATATTTGGTCTTCCTCCCATTTCCTGACATACAACCCTAAGATCCTTAGAATCTCTAGCTGATGTCTTTTTGTATGCTAATGATTGACTGATCGCTGGCAGCCCCGAGGCAGCTTCAGGATGAGGGCTGTCATTGGGAAGACCAAGGCAGATTAGAGGGTTACAACTTTCAGCCCATACCCACAACCCTGGGAAGAGAAGAGAGGTTAAAGGTTAAGTTGATTGCCAATGGCCAATGACATAATCAATCATGCTTATTGAAAGACTGAGTTTGGATGAGCTTCCAGATAGCTCACCTAGAGTTTCCTGGAGGGTGTTGGGCCAGGAGAGGGCATGGAAGCTCCAAGCCCCTTTCCCTTCCCTCACCCTGTGCGTCTCCCCATCTGTATTTTTTGTAATAATCTTTATAATAAATCAGTAAATGCGTTTCCCTGAGTTCTGTGAGCCATGCTAGCAAATTAATCAAACCCAAAGAACCCTGTTTTATAGCCAGTTGGTCACAAACATAGGTAAAATATCCTGGGGCTTGTAATTGGCATTCAAAGTATGTGGGGGCAGGGGGCAGTCTTAGGGACTGAATCCTCAATCCGTGGGATCTGATGCTACCTCCAAGTAGATGGTGTCAGAATTGAATTGGAGGACACCCAGCTGGTGTCCAGGGCAGAATTGATCAATTGCTTGCTGGTGGGGAGAAATCTACACATATCTGGTGTCAGAAGTGTATTGTGAGGGGATAGTGAGAAAAAGATGGTTTGTTTTTTTCAGTTAGGAGGTGTTTCAATTACTATTACAATGAAACAAACTATCCCAAAACTTAGCAACATGAAATAATCATTTGATTATGCTTATAGTTTCTTTGAGTCAGGAACTCAGATAGGGCAGAGTAGGGTTAGCTTGCCTCTCTGCTCCATGACATCTGCAGCCTGAGCTGGGAAGATGCAAAGGCTAATGGCTGGAATCACCTAGAAGCATTTTTAGTTATGTGTGGCAGTGATGTTGGTTGTCAGCTGGGACTACAGCTGGGCTGTTGGTGGGTTCATGAGAGTGTGGCTTCTCCTTGTGGGTGAGGCTTTCTCACAGCTTGGTGGCCTCAGGATATGCGGACTTCTTAAATGGCAGCTCAGAGCTCAAAAGGCTAGTGTCCTG